CCCTAAAGATTATTTTATATAACAAATTGTTTGCTTGGTACCTTTTAGCTTTTTAATGAATACACATCTAGATGTTGATAAGGACATCAAATATAACAATATATCCCAGAGTATTGTTTCTGTTTTAAATTGAGGAATGATAACAGAGTGAAGATAATGATAGTGTATAAATGACTTCTTTACATTGGACGTAAAAAGAAAAGCAATGGACTATACTCTTGCCAACAAGAAACATGAGGCATATGGAAGGAGAAACATGACAGGGAAGCGTACATCTGCAAATAAACTAGAATTGGTGAAACAGCATAAAGAGTAATTATACAAGAAAAAAACTGAAAGAAACAATACCTATCCCATGACTTAAACATTAAAAGATGCGGAAACTGTGAAAAGAAGGAAATAAATGTTAAGTAACATATGTATAGGAAGATCTTTTGTGAAAATTACACACCATCCTTTTACAAGAAAGACCAATGTTCATTATGCACACTGTACAATAGAAGAAGGCAGTAGTCACACTAGATGGCACGGTCAAGGAAAAATAATTATATTGAATATCAAAAACTGAAGGAAAATGCAAAAGAAGAAAAGGCTAAAAAAACTGGAGCAAAAGTCACACATGCGTTAATGTTGCATGTTTTGATCTCAAGGCCGTCGGAACAACCCCTTGTTCATTAGTGAGTGAGCTTTTCTATTCAAGGAAACTCTGTTGCTACACATCTTGACAGTATTTTTCTTAGGAGACAAAACTGTTGTATGTCATGTATGGGATAAAACTAACTGCAAAGAGGGGCATGTGAAATACCTTCCTGCTAAATAAAAAGTTTAAAAACCCTTTTCTATTTGTCAGAGTGGTAATGCCAAATAAGTTAAATATTTTTTTCAGATTCATATAGGGGACAAAACAGAAATTGATTCGTAGCTGCGTCTCTTCCTTTATATTATCACAAGTTCCAAATTTAAGATTGATCATCCACAAATTTCTTGTATTTGGTCACTCACAGATGGAGTGATACTTTGACTATTGAAGGGGCAAAAAAAATAATGCCTGTATAATAATGTATCATTCAGTTGTGTTGCCTTACTTTTTGTACAAAAAGAAATAATCACAAAATAGTTTCATAATTATTATGCCACTTAACCAACAAACAAGAAAGAAAAGGGTTATGTCACGATGAATTCACATGAGAATGATTCTGATTTTAAATAACAAATATTGTTAGACATATTGACATAGGCATTAAGATTGATCACACAGGACAACTTTCAAAACATGCAGTGTCATATTTACTGAAAACACAATAATTTCAGATTATTATTTGCATCATTGTATAATAAAACTGTAACCAAATGATACTTTTTGTTAATATTGTTGGGACAAAAAGGTGCCAACTGCCATATGGTACCTTATTGGGATATATTTTACAGCAAATGTTTAAAATCATACAATGCAAAAAGGGGCCAAGTGATCATATGGTACCTTCTTGCATTTGTCGGTCAAAATATTTATTAGTGCAAAAAGGAACCATTTCCTTTAATTGATTAATTATCACTAATTAGTAATGTATAAGCTTTCCAACTTTTTGAGCATGTACATTTCAATATGATCTAAATATATGTGAAGTTGCTCTGCTAGGTTGTAAATACCTGATTTGATATGGAACTTCCAATCTTTAAACGTGATTTTCTCGAAAACATGAAAATGTCACTTGGTACCTTTTTGCTTTAATGGGGCGATATTGCCTTACTTTATTTTGCTATGCTCCCTGTATCGGAGAGCTGGAGTGCAAGAAAGAGAGAGTGAGAAAGTGTAAGGTGACCTTGTTATTTAACCTACAGTATGTGTCAGGTTGTATTGATCTTCAAAAAGGAGAGAGAGAAATGAAGTAATATTGGGTACAGGTTTTAGAGAGCTGTTGATGCTGTTGTGCTCCTTGTTAGTGTAACTATTTATTATGGTATAGCGCATGGCGATACTTAAAAAATGGAGATGCCGTAAATATAATGCACCAAACATATAACTTAACCTAAATTATAGGTAAATAAATAATTTCCCTGTTATATCGGCATGACGATATAAAATACTGTTTGACATCTATATATAAAACACTGTTCGTGTGTCCTTTATTGTTTTTTTTTTTTCTTCTCTTGTGTCAGAATGACATTTAAGTCTCAGAATGTAAAGAGGTGCTATATATATATATATAATTATTCAGAACATAAGTTATTAGAAAAAGGTAATATATAAAGAGAGGAGGTAACTGTTGCTAGTATTGATTTGAATTTGATCTATAGTAGCTATTGGCTGGTTTTAACATCTACAAGTATTAGATTTATTTATCGCAAGATTTGTTAAAAGTATCGATGTTTATTGTCGGCTTTTAGTGTTATATTAAAGACGTAAGGAATTAACGTGGTGAATTTTATGAATATGTGAATATATTTAAGAGAGGAATTAAGACTAAAGTTACTCAACTGTGAAATTAAAACATAACAAATCTAGTGCATGTGAAGAGTGTACTGTATATAAGTCAGTTTGACATTATGAAAGTCTATAAATAAACTTCAAATATAAAATCACATAAATTACATATAAATATATGTGATACTACAAGATACTAGTGTGATTTTAAATTTTAAAGAGGGATTTAACAAAATGGATGTACATTTGATTATAGAAGATGTGTGTTTAATGGATCATTTATTGGTAAATATTCATACTAAAAAACTGATGGGATATAATATTAGTACTGTTTTCTTGTTCAACAACTTCATGGTGAGGAATGAGTAAATTTCCCCCCCTCCCCCATTTAAAAAAAATTTAAAAAATGGAAAAGAACTTGAAGGTGATGCTTCTGAAGAGAGAAAAAGAAAATGCATATGAACATAATTATACATGTCTGCTTTGTAAATTGTTTTTCCATATTTTTTTCAAGAACATTGTCAAAGCATTAATTTATGTCATAACTTTTTTCAAATGAGCTTTAAATTATCAAGACTCCCAACTAGATTGGCCCTGACTAAATATCTAAATACCAGTAATGGTGTAAAATAATAATCAAATTTTGTATCAGAAATAAAAATTTTAACTGCTTTTATGACAAGTATAATTACATTTTTTCCAGAACTTCCTGTTTTCAAACTAGATACTATAGATGTAGAAAGTGACTAAACTTAATTGCTTATAAATTAAATAGTTTATTTATAAAACTTTTTATGAAAAAGGTAACTTAAAACAAATAGTTTATAATTATATAAACTACTTAAGGATAAAGTTACTGTAAACAGAATTAATAGCGTTGATTGATATAATTGCTTGAAAACAGGATTGTGTGTGTTTTACATTATTTGAAAAATAGTAGACTGCTTCCCATATAATAACTTTATAATGAGTATTTTGATTGTTTCACCTGAAAAACTGCAAAGTATATAATATTTACAGTAACCCATAACCTGCTAAATTTCTTAAATGGACTTGTACAGCTCATTTAGTTGGAACTGACCGGATGTCAAGATGAAAATTTAAAATATAATTATAGTCAAGAGCCAGTGGCACCAGTCACTTTCTGTTTTACCCAGGTGAAATGCGTACCATGGTCAACATAGTATTTCATGGATTTTGATATCTGAACATGTTATTTCTTGGTCGTCAGTGAAAATCCATCAAATGCCATGGTCACATCATGGTCTAAGTGCTGAGTATGACCATGTAATCATGTTATAACATGGTCATTCTGCATATCTGAGTACTTACTTATCATGAAAAACCATGGTCTACCATGTAACATTAAAATTACAGACCAAAAAGAAAAAAAATATGTTGACCTTTCTGGGGTTTGAACCCATGGCCCTAAGTTTCATTGTATTTTACAGTAGTTCTAGTCTATTTGAATACTCTTCAAGCCAGGGTAAACCTTACCACAATGCAACAGTTAACAATGCGTCCTAAACCAGTGTGATTGTGATTAAGCAATGTAAGGTTTAAGGCCCTGTCAACTTCACATCTTGATTAAGTTTCTTTTCTTTACCAGTTGATTCTCACTCTATTGAGTATGTAAATAACTTTGATAAAGTTTTTTATTGGGGTGTGGTAGGGTAGGGGCAGGGTGAGCGGGGGGGGGGGGGGAGGGGGTAGGAGCTTATTTTAGGGTGTACAGAGTGTGAAGTTCTAAGGAAGCTTTAAGCTTATGGATCTGTTCCTAGAACTAACCAGTGCAAAGCCTTGAGTGTAAATTGCTTCATATGGGGTTTAAACCCACATGACCAGCATTTATAGATTACTATTAGGGGCATATTATACACTCTGCCATACCATCACATTGTGGCCTTATTTTGATCAATTGTATGGAATTATATAATGGAAATCTTTGATTTTTTTTCCATAAGAATATATTCTGGGCAGACTCTTTAGGCTATTATAGTTTCACATGCTATATTGCTGTTAGAAAGAATTGTATATATCAAAATGACCTATAAAGTAAAGATTGCATACAAAACTTATTTTTAAATTTAGTGCCTTAAAATTCTAATAGCGTTATTTATTAAATGTGGGAGTATGATCTACATGTATATTGATATCCTGAAAGTGCAGTTTTTGTCTGAACAACTTTTATGTGTGAATATATATTACCCATATTAACATAAGTAAAACTCATAATAAATGAGTTAATACATTCAATCTGGTTTTGATCCTTTATTCAAAATGTCATTTTAGAGCAGCCTTTTTCATCAAGAACCTAAAAAAAACCCAGTTCTCATTTTCCATGTTTTTTTTGCTCAGGTTCTGTGTACTATCTCTTGTTGATTTACTCTCCCATACTTTCTGGCTTTTTATGACATTATATTCATCCAGGAGTCTTAAAAAGTGTTTAAATTTCAGACCCTTTCTCAAAAAGTGCTAAAAAATGAAAATTAGTGCTAAAAGTGTTAAGCCATTACCAAGCATTTACTCGAAAGTAAAAAACTATCATTCTTAATTTAGTTGTTTCCTCTATTTTCAGTTTTGAATGAAAGTGAAGGGCAAGTGCATCAAGGTTACCATGGTAATCACATGTACCTAGACAACATGGTTCTCGGCTCCCCAACAGGATCCATGCTACCTATGGATGCAGATATACATTTAGGAGGCCCTGATATGAATTACGACATGCACATGACTATGGGCGAAAGGGCAATTACATCTAGCACAGGAAACGACCCCAAGAAGAAAAAAGGGGCGGGTATTGTTGGAAAGAGTATAGAGGAGGAGTTGTGTAGGATTTGTGGAGACAGGGCCTCTGGATATCATTATAATGCACTCAGTTGTGAAGGCTGCAAAGGTTTGTTAAATTTTTTCTGCAGATTCATGTGTAAGACTTTATAACATAGGTTAACTTTAGTGTCAACAAAATGTTGGTAGCTGATTTGTCAGCCCTGTGAGGCTGTGACACAGGCATAAGTTTAATCAGTGACATCTGATCAGAAGTCTGTATTGACCTTTTTGCACTGTTGAAAGACGCTTTTCTATTTAACTGAGATTTAACTGTCTTAACCTTTAACCTACAGAAAAGTGAAGTGAATTTGCAGCCTTTGTCACAAGTATAGAGTCAGGCCGACCTGTACACTCATGCAGTCTAACCAGTCTCTTATTGTTGGCAGCACAACTTTTGTATTTTGATACTTTAATCCCTTGGATTTAAAATGGACTGTTCAAATTCAAAGCAGGGCAAGTCCATTACATAAATACAGCAGGGTTAGGGGTAAGAAGCGCATGGAACACGGCTCAAGATCATGGCAGGCTTAAAATTAAAAGTCAGAAACAAAATATATTTTTCCTTCATTAGAAAGGGCAAACATGGGTTTCATAGTGTGTAAACAATGGTTTCAGAGTAATAATATCTGTCATATTTTGCGGTTTGGATCGGAATATCCGTCCCGAGGTGATCCGCCCATTGGGCAGTAACGAGGCTTGACGAGTTATCGCCCATGGGCGGGTGACCGAGGGACGGATATTCCGATCCGAACCGCAAACATATGTCAGATATTTTTTCTTGCATATTCTACCATATTCCATTATATTTTAAATTCTTTATCTTTATTTTCAATGAAAATTTATATCATTACAACCCTAACTACTTTCATTCAACAGTGTATGAATTACAAAATTATTCATAACGGTAAAATGACGTCATCTTTATCGTGCCATTGTACAGCATGCGACTCATCTGGAACCCCCCATGCCAGATGAAATTTTCGGCATGGGTAAAACTAACGGAAACGCCAGTCTGATATGCAAGAATATTTAAGATGCTAATCACTGTGAATATGAAGTAATGTGTTACAAAAGTAGCAAAATGTAAACAAACTAGTAATTTGACTTCCATACAAAATACTAAACCATTTACCAGTACTTGTTGAATGCTAACAAGCAACAGGAGCAAGATGGTTCAGGTAACTAGCAAATAAGTAACTTTTTTGAAACTTTAACAGGACATCAAAAATCAAAATGATTTTGAGAAAGAAAGATAAAAGCATTTCTGGGGCCTTAAGTAGTAACATCAAGAAAACCAGACACATCAATTTGTCAGGGCAGTATGACCAGTCTCTATACTGTGGTATCATTGATATTTTTGTTCCAGTGGATTTTCAATACAGATTTGAATAGATTTTATGATATAATTAAATGTCTGGAATTGATGAAAAAACATAAAGAAGGCAGATGCTTTGTCAAAAAGATGTGTCTATGCAGTCATTACTAAATTCAAATATCTATTGAAAAAAAACAAAACAATTACTTTTGGTTAGAAAACCCCCCATAGGGATTGTATTAATAATTATAAACAATATAAATAATATACAATATCATTTTTTTATGCTCAAAACATATAATTTAATGATTTAACCATGATAACAAGTGTGATGATAGAGTATAGATAATTATATATGATATTATGATGTATTATCAGTCAGTATATCATTGATAATTGCGTTGGACAACTATAATAGTACCCCTGCATTTGTGAGGAAATGGTCTGTTAAAAAAGTACACTATTGGACATCAGTTAATTAAGTGAAGTCATACAGGAAAATCTGTTGCATGTTATTGTAGAAGGCAGATTAAAACGCAAGCTGCCTCCTGGTTTAAGATTGTTTAAGATGTAGGGCACATGTCGAGTTTAAATAGCTTGTTTAATGTGTTTATGCAGTCATAGTCTGGCCTGTTGATCTTAGCATACTTTACATCAATAGTGAAAGTAATTCAAAATCAATACTGGAACCTGATTGACTTTATAAAGCCCCAAAATATCATAGGTCTAACCAGACTTATATAGAAAAAAGCAAGTTTTTGGTTTAATCAATAATATTTAAAATTATTCAACATAATTATTGTAAGTATATATAGGTCCCATAAAAATGACCTTTACACAGAGACCTTGTGTTTGTCACTTGAAATTTATATTTTCTCTAATGTAAAGTCCTAAAGTCTTCAGAATTTTGCTATTGTTTGATCTTATTTAAAGCAGCATGCCAACACATTCATAATAATTTTCAATAAAGATATGAAAATGTATCTTAAAGAAAAATATTTTAAAGTGACACTGACTGCAAACAGCACTAACAATACTTGTAAAATGCTAAAAAAACTAGTCCTTCTGTGTTAGTCTCCGTGTAAAATTATGGTGATAAATGCTATAAAATCAGCTATAAATCGCACATGTAAATTATTGCTTGCATCTTTAATATTTTTATGTAATGTAAAACTGTAGTACATTTTTCTTAAGTTTGACTTTGTTTTTTGATTCATTTGGAGGCATGCAACTTAAAGTTTGGGCAGATCCGCACCCTTCCTCCCCACCCCCCCCCACCCCCAACATTTCACTGGTTAATAATCAGCCATATTGTTATACAAAACTACATCTCTGTTATACATTAGTATTCCTGCCATTCTAGTTTGTATGTTACTAGGTAAAGTAGCATTAAATGTCAGATTTATGTACTGCCCTGATGACTGTTCCTGGGTTTCTGGGTGTGAAGTACTCACCTGTTCTATAGTGTAAAGTGAACTGCCACAATAAATCTATGTAAATGCTGCTTTATGACACTGTTGGATCATAACATAGTATTACAACTTCAACTTATTAGAAGGTTAACTCTTTTTGAAATGCTTTTATTACAGACCTTTGGGGAAAAATAAGCCAAATTATGAAGTGATTCGATCAAAGTAAGAAATTCGAAAATATTGGTTAAAAGTTCACCTTCAGCAAAAAAAGCATAATATTAGACACTTTTTATGCCCAAAATTCTTGCAAAAATATGTTTATTGTAAAATTTGGTAGTAATATAATGCCAATGAACATAATGCAGTATTATTAATTTCAAAGAGAAATGATATTATAGAGAAAAATAAGTGATATAATTATATTAAATTTTGTGTTGTGATATTTAGTATGTTTGTGTTCTGGTAACACGATAACATAAGTAAATTGAATCACAGTGCTGTAGGTACATATTCCACATCTATTGCATAATATTACTGAAACATCTTTATGATTGCATAATTATGTGCATATGTACTTTCTTTGGATATGGATAGACATTACATTTTTACAGAATATAAATGCCCTTTGTTTGTATGTTGTATGTCATTGTGTTTGTGCAATTCTGTTGGTATGTGACCTTAACCCTCAAATTTAAATGAAGGGCCTATTCCCCTATCTGTGAAAAAAAAACTTACTGTTTGTATTGAGCCTTTCTTATATAATGTTTACTTGGTATATGTTACACATATTAATGCATTCTGTTGCACTTTATGTAATAATATAAAAATTTATCCCGTTGTTATTTATACTGGTAATTTTATAGCTTTTTACTTCTGGCAGCCAACACTGTGCATAATATCTTACATTATAACTTTCTTAAAGCCGGGAGGGGGGGGGGGGTGATTTATTATTAATGCTTTATTTCATGTGAATAAAGCTTTGTACCAAACATATACTAGTTAACTTATTATTATACTTACTTATTATTATACTTACTTACAGCTTTATATAGAAGAAAAGTTAATTAGTTTATGGCATATTTAATGTTAACCTTTGCTGCATTTTGGATGAATTGCATCCAAGACTATTTGAATATTTGTTTTTATATTACCACATGTTGTCAACATAGTCTGAATATAAAGTATCTTCTGACAATTAATTTTGTTCTTCACACCTGTGACTGGGATTCTACAGACACCAGGTTTTTATTGGTCCAGAATCAATCGCCATTATCTTAGTTTAAAACAAAATGCTTCCAATGAAAAAATATGAGGAAAAAAATTTCAAGTTAAATGTAAATGCAGGTCTTGTTATGTTTCATTTGTAAACCCATTATTACTGACCTTAATTTAATAAATAAAGTTGACAAAATCTTCACTTAAACTCAAGTGCTGAGATAATTGCTAGATATACATGTATATATAATCAGCACATCAAAGTTTTAATTGATGATTGCAAAACAATAAAACTTCATCTTCAAACAATCATGCCAATTATGGCTTAGGGGTTGCCTTTATTGTTTAAGGCATAATAATTGCAGCCAACTGCATGTTTGTAAGAGGGGAACTTAATAGGTTGGAACAACTGGAGTTTATGCACCTTTTGGCTCCAGCAGGTGAGGTGGTTTAGCATATTGGTGTTGCTTGATGTTTGTAACAGGGGAAGTAAGTCAAATTCATCTTTTCTGTTTCGGTGCCCATTTAAAGACCTATGCTGCGTTGGTGTGCTGTAAAATCCGAACAAAATGAAGTCAAACAATCCCTCTTAGTATGTAATAGATTCATTTCTTTATATTTCTCCTTTATTTATGCTACTGAGCTTTATTTCTGTTTTTGCTATTATTATTTTGCGGCTAAAGTTCATTGTTGAAAACATTGTTCGGTTGAACTCCTAATATGATATTAATAGAGGACACTTCTGTTTATTGTCATGGTTTGTTACATGGCATAGAAATCTTGCCTGATCACATATTTTCAGGTTTAGCACATGCTAATTATACCTATTTAGGGCCTCCTTTGTCGGTGTGAAATTGGCAGTTAATTAGCACATGCTTTATAATTAATTTAAGCCAAGAGTGCTGGAACTAAAAGTTTACAATGTTTTTCATGACAAGGTTCTATTCTATTGGCTGACATACTGTGTTTAAGAAAGATGGAGGCTTTGCAAGCATATTTTAGATATATTTATGCTGCAGGGTAACAGTAAAAAGCAGAATTTATCACTGTTCAGCTTTTGTAGAACGACCGTAATATTGGAGCAATACACTAACATTTTTTTCCACAGTCCTCCACCTCTGAGCAGGCTCCTCATTATGATGGACCAGTCTTGTAAGAATTTTTACTGTTTGACAAAAGTTGATAGAAAAATGCTCTTAATTGCTAACATTCTGTAATAAATATTTATTTTTGCTACATGTATTATTTTAAAGAGAGACTTGATGGTAATGATACAAAAATAGAACATAAAAGAGTCCTTAAATTAAGCTCAGAATAATTTTTCCTCTATAAAATTCATTACTCTTAACTACAGTTACAACACAACATTGAATTACTTTAATAATATTTTTTCTGTGCACTACAGGTAATCCAATTTGTGTAATATGTGTCTGTCAAAGCGAAATATAGAAACATATCAGGGCTTGAGTTTAAAGTTTTGATGCTAGTGTGAGAATTACAACTTACAATGATTACAATAATGTAGGAAAACATCTGAACACCTCAACTCTTACGTTTTTGGTTCGATGCCTTCTGGTTTCCCTGCTGGTGTGGCTAGATTGTGTTGGGGTACGTGCTACATTCTGTGAATGTTGCTGTGCCTTGTTGGTTGTTGTTCTAACTTTCTATGTATGTTAAGTGCAAAAAAGTTTTCATTATATGAAGCCATGAAGTTTGTGTCAACTGTATAATTATATAGGTAGTCATAACAAAAGCTAATCCCAATATGTCTGTCCATCATGTGGTACTTTCATGTTTTCTGTTTGTCTCTTTATGTGGAGTGAAATTAATGTATTAATCTCTTTATCCTGTCAACCTTTATACCCTGGTAAATATCTTAATTCAATGTCTCCATTCTTTCAATTTGTACAAGACCGTTCTATAATTTTTAGGATAAATTTCTAAATTTGTGTAGATTAAAATTAATAGTGATCAGGCCATCCTTAAAAAAATGTTTGTTTGCAGTAACCCGACCCAGAATTTTCAAGGTGGGTAGGTAGGTCGATTTTTTTTTTTTTTTTTTTTTTTTTTTTTTGAACTGTACTCCCAAATAAACATGGAATTTCAAAATGCTGGACAATTTATGCTTTGATAATCTGGTAACAATTAATAAATTAATAAATGAATTCTAATTTAGTAAGACCTACATTTTATTTCTTCTATTAACCTTTAAAAGAACAAAAAGAAAGCACAAGGCACAATTTTCTGATTCAAATAAAAATTTTTTATCCAGACCATGAAAAAAACTTTTGAGTAGGGGCAAATTTTGTGAGTCGGTCGCGTTACTGCAAACAAACATTTTTTTAAGGATGGCCTCAGTGCAGACCATCATATTGGTGCTGTCTCTGTTTGCATGAGTAAGATTCTGTAGCCACCATCTTAGCAATTCTTACATTTGGGATTATTATAGCTTCCACATGAAAACTTTCTCTTCTGGTATCATCTGTCAATGATCTCTTTGAAATAAATCCCTATGAATATTAATGATAGTTTGTTTGTCCTTTTTTCTGCTGAAAGAAGGTCAGACTTTTTTGTGATGTTTTACTTAAAACATTTTTTTAAGACTAGAAATGAAACCTTTATTTCCTAATGGCCTAGTGTTAAGATATACCAGTACAATTTTCAAAATATGCTGTTTTATGTTTATTGTTTGTTTGAACTTTTTCTTCAGGATTAGCAGGAATTCAGATGACTTTTTTCATGATAATTCTGCTTTTATAATAAAGGCCTCCCTGAAATTTTATTTTTCAGGATTTTTTAGAAGAAGTATCACTCGAGGAGCATCATACCACTGTAAATATGGTGGTAACTGTGAAATGGATATGTGGATGCGACGGAAATGTCAGGCGTGTCGACTCCGGCGATGCCGTGAAGTTGGAATGAAAGAAGAGTGTAAGTTGCCTATGATATTTTGTTAACGAAACAGTACATGTTTACTTGTAATTAGGATGCACGAGTTAATGTGCCTGTCTAAAAAACTCTTTAACAATAATATAATGATTATAACATTACCCTTGTGTTATTATGCCCCCACAATGTGGGAGCATATAGCGTTGCACTTGTCCGTCCGTCCGTCAGTCCGTACGTCCCAAAATCTTGTGAACGCAACTCCTCTTAAACCGGATGGCAGATTTTGCTTAAACTTACAGGGATGAACAACCTTAATGTGTAGATGGTAGTAAAGGAAGGAATTTTTCGCTGCGACCAAATTTAACAGAATTATGGCCCTTTGTTGATTTTTTCACTATATACTATGTAGAAATTTTGTGAACGCAACTCCTCTTAAACCGGATGGCAGATTTTGCTTAAACTTACAGGGATGAACAACCTTAAGGTGTAGATGGTAGTAAAGGAAGGAATTTTTGCTGCGACCAAAATTTAACAGAATTATGGCCCTTTGTTGATTTTTTCACTAAATATACTATGTAGAAAGATTTTTGTGAATGCAACTCCTCTTAAACCGGATGGCAGATTTTGCTTTAACTTACAGGTATGAACAACCTTAGCAATGTGTAGATGGTAGTAAAGGAAGGAATTTTTTGGCTGGCGACCAAAATTTGTCAACAGAATTATGGCGCCTTTCGTTGAATTTTTTCACGTATATACTATGTAGGAAATTGTTGTGAATGCAACTCCCGTAAAAAACGCGGATGGCAGATTTTGCTTAAAACTTACAGGGAATGAACAACCTAATGTGTATGATTGCCAGTAGGAAGGAATTTTTGCCTGCAACCAAATTTAACAGAATTATGCCCCTTTGTTGATTTTTAGTTTTCAACTTGTGGCACATGTAGTCCATAAAAATATTTGACCTAGAGTGCATAAGAGTGACAGAACAGGTGGCGTGTGGCGGGGCATTCCGTGTCCTATGGACACATTTCTAGTTTTATCAGTTTTGAATAATGGAGCCTAGAAATTTTGTGCATGTAAATATTTTTCTTACACTTGTATACGAATTACAAAGAATAGGGTAAGATGGCAAAGTTCTTTCCTGCTTTTAAAGTATATACAAATACCTTAAAATATAACACAAGTTAATTTTTATATATAATATTATGCTGCAGAAATGATTGATAAAATTAAAAATTGAAAATGCTTGTGATAGTATATTGCCTTAAAGCTAATGGAGCATGCACAAAATTATATCTCAACAGTTAAAATCATAATATTTTTTTCTGAAAGTTTACATACAAAATTCATGTGTGTTATATAAACGAGACATTCTATGTTATAATTCTTTCGAGAATCGACTCTGTGAAAATTGACAAACAAAATAATTTTACTGTCTATTAATTTATAAAAATATTTCACAGAATGATATTAACAATTTACAGTTTTGCCGTGTTGGGCTTTCTTTAGGGATTCTGTTTTTCTCTATTTTAAGCTTCGTACCCATTAAGCTTCATACCCTTAAAAGCATAAAATACATAAAAAGGAAACCCCTCAATACCTCTATATGTAAATTAGTAAAGCAGATCTAAAACCAATCTTCCATATTATGACATGAATGTCACTGACATACTATAAATAGGTCTTTAACGCTGTTTTGAAAAAAGCTTAACAGTGATATAATGTTCTTTTCCAAGACAAGTAATTATTGAAATACTTAAATTTATACAACACAGAATTGTTTTTCCAACAAATAAATAAAAGCTGAAGGGGCACTTTAAAGATTTTCTTTTTAAAGAAGATTCTTAGAATCTTCAAAGGATTCAAACCTCCAAAACCTGAGTGGTCGGGTGATCAACCCAAAGATGAAAAAGTTTAATGTTATATATGTATGTCCGACATGCAATAGCAACCACCTTGACAGAAAGACCACAGATTGTGTCAATATGTCACTGTTGACTACCTTTTCTTCGTATTTTTCAATGTGCACAGTATATGTGTAAATAAGACTGATTTGCAAGACATGCTGTGAACAAAAAAACTTTGCCAAATTCCTTTGACAGGGTCTTCTGAGTTTAGCTGTACTCTGTATTGAACTTATGTTGAATGTTTTTCTCAAGATATTGTTGTATTATTTTGTTCACAGGTCTTTTATCAGAGGAACAATGTAAAGCAAGAGATGTGCGTAGGAAACAAAAATCCACAAAAGTGAAAAAAAATTCAGAATCAGTGAACAGTCCTGAATCAGTGGTGGACAAATACGAAGATGTTGACAGTAAAGAGAAAGTGAAAGTGAAAGCTAATATTAGACCTGAGACTATAATTGATAACGAGCCACTATTACGTGTAAAGGAAGACACTAAAACATTAGTTGAAAAAGTTGTTTTCCTTCAAGATAAATACGAGTTTCCAGATGAAGCTGTCATTAAATCAGTTAACGTAAGTATCAATTTTTTTTTGAAAGGGTAAAAAATTAAGTCCAATGGTGATAACAAAAAGTTGATAATCTTTCTTCTTCTAATCAAACAAAGTTGCCCACTTGGCATCTACAATCAATGCTGTGTAAAACCAGTGGTCTTCTAACAGCATATGAATGTTTGATTAAAACTATATAACAGTGCGTTTTTTCCCTCACCCTTAAATCAATCTCTCGGTGACTTATAATAATGCTTTTCAAATATTCATTGAAATAGAGTGTACATTAATAACACATGCAAAAGAAACTGAAAAGCATTTTAAAAAATTGTTGTGATAAATTTTGGTCTGTAATGTTACATAATTAAACATTGTCTAAAGTGTAGACTGTAACAAGTCGAGTGAATTACAACTAATGAATATTTGCGGTCTTATAGTATGTCACTATGTCATGGCTAAATTACTACAGCATGCCCTAATGCTGTAGGATGATAATTTGGTTTCTGCGTGAAATTGGGAAAATTCTAATTGCTGTTAATCCTTGCTTATAAATTCTGTGACACCATGTCTTATGTTGTAATCTATGAATAAGGCTATGATCTGTCTCACCTATATCTGGTATAATGTTATCGATATTTGTTATACAGTATATAATTTATGTACATGAACAGAAATGTCAAGTTAATGCCTTTGATCAATACATACTTCCAACAATCAGTATTTCTACTAGAATTATATGATTAGCCCTTGCTACCAGTATAAAGCCAGGGTAGCATTTGCCTGTACGTCTCATCACCTTAATGCAGTAACAGGTTAACTCCTTTTTAATTTATAAGGTGTTAACCCATTACTGCACTAAGGTGACAAATTCTGCACTGTCTTTACCAGGCAGGCTCTTTGCTGTTTGTATCTTTCAATGTTGGTGTCCCTTAAACTTGTAATGGATTGTTTCAAATTAAAATTAATAAATTCAACAAAGGCAACGAAGCAAGGTAATATATGCACTGATGCTTCAGTATATCATTTTATAATTATTATTTGGTGCAACGATGTGTAAATTATTAAGTCTTAAGTATTTTTGTGCAATGATGTAGAAATGTTATCTCATGATTTTAACTCCCCTAGGTACTAGATATTGCAGGTAGACAGGAAATAGTACATTATTCAAACCCCAACACACTCACTAAATTTTTGTAATCAATTTGCCTCAATTCTTTGAATTTGAAAAACAAATTTCAAAATATTGACAAAGCCTTGAAAGTTAATAGTTTATAGTCAAGCCAATGAATACTCAATGTCTGTGCAAACTTCCATCCCTAAATACAATAATACTTGGTGCCCTCGACTTGCCTATTTAATCACATTTGTAGGGCTAAATTAGGATTTCTACAGCTAACATGATTGTACTCCCAGTTCTTTATACAGGTTTGTTAATTAGACCCGTTCCCTGTTAGAAATATTCTTACATTTTTTTACAAAAAAAACTAAAACAAAAATGTAATTGATTTTAAAGATTCTTATTTTAGATGATTTTTTCTCCCCTTTTGACAAAATTTAAGGTGTGAAAAAAATTCCACCCTGTCCAGACAAATACCTGTTGGGTGAGAAGTGAACTTATACCATGGTACCATGATGTATTTTGGGGAAAATTCACAGTCTGGTCATAAGACATTTAAGATATTTCACAAGGCTCTAGCATTAATAATTGAAATATTCATGTTTGTGTAAAAATTGTGTGTACTTTTATTTAGTGATCAATTATTAAAATTAGAAATTTCATGTCAAAATTCTCCTAGAAATTTTCCTTGCTTTTTTTTACTGTTATAATTCATGCATGCATACTTAAGAGAGCATTAAAACATTTTCTGTTAAGAAACCTTTGTCAGTCAGTGATGATTATGTCTGGTAAAGCAAGACTTTCTCGCAAAGAGAAAGCCTAATGGTATATTTATAAGCTGATTATGAAGATAAGAACTGCTTGACACAGAAAATAATATCTGCCGATAAATCAATCGATCAGTCTCCACTTTTGCCACATACACTTTCTTACCTTTCTTATTTTCTGTAACAAAGCATAGCTAGGTTGAGGGGGGGGGGGAGGTGATGACAAAAAAGTTTGAAAGTATAGGGAATAGTGTACAGACTACAAGATCAGCAGGCCCTTGACCTTGCGGCACAAATGTGCGGCCTATATACATAACACTTGTTACATGAATAGATTCGGACCGGTGCCAACAGGCTAATAGTTAAAAGAGAAAGAGTGCATAAATGCACTTTCTATGGAGAATAGGGAGAGGCGGAAATGTATAATAAAAAAGTACATAATATACATGAATATAGAAAAATTGGCTCTTCCTTTCGGCATTAGATAATTGAAAAGTCTTAAAACAAAGCTTTATAGTCAGATATATATCTTGTAGGAAATTTTTCAATTTATTTTACGGTTTAAACATGGCTTTAACATATTTTTTAAGCTCGATTGCGAAACAAGTTCTTGCAACTTATATTAATCACTTTCGAGTCCACTTCCTGGAACCTGAACCAGTACTGGTGTCATATGAAGAAACATGGTCGTGACCTGAGTAGGGCTCGAACCCATGATCTCTTGATTGAGATGCAGACACCTTAACCTAACTAGGCCACCTCCTTTTTTATGACAAACAGGGATAGTTTAAATTATAAACCTGTAACTCAGAGAATAATTTTTATTGTTAAAATTATAAGCATTAATATTATATTAAAAATAATAGTAAATAATTTGCATAGTTATGTTGTTATGAAATATTATACAGCTAATTTGTTCCTCGGTACTTTCATACAATGTTGGAAAAGGTAAATTATTTTGATATGTTCATAACAAGAACAGATTTTTATGCCCCCGCCATGTAATGGCCGGGGCATATAGTGTTACCCTGTTCCGTCATTCCGTCCTTCCGTCCTTCCATCCTTCCGTCATTCTGTCATTCCGTCATCATCAGTTTCCGTTCATTATCTTAAGAACGGTTGCATACATTCAACTCAAATTTGACATATGAATATGTCATGACAAAATACAGGTCAAGTTCGAATTTGGTCATGGTTCGATGATTTTTGACAGAGTTATGCCCCTTTTACTTTGAAAATAATGTGAAATTTCAGTTTCCGTTCATTATCTCCCCATCGGTACAACACATTCAACTCAAACTTGACATATGGATATGCCATGACCAAATACAGGTCAAGTTCGAATTTGGTCATGGTTCGATGATTTTTGGCAGAGTAATGCCCCTTTTACTTTGAAAATAATATGAAATTTTCAGTTTCCGTTCATTATCTCCCCAACGGTACAACACATTCAACTCAAACTTGACATATGGATATGTCATTAGAAAATACAGGCCAAGTTCGAATTTGGTCATGGTTCGATGATTTTTGGCAGAGTTATGCCCCTTTTACTTTGAAAATAATGTGAATTTTCAGTTTCTGTTCATTATCTCCCCAACGGTACAACACATTCAACTCAAACTTGACATATGGATATGTCATGACAAAATACAGGTCAAGTTCGAATTTGATCATGGTTCGATGATTTTTGGCAGAGTTATGCCCCTTTTACTTTGAAAATAATATGAAATTTTCAGTTTCCGTTTATTATCTCCCCAACGGTACAACACATTCAACTCAAACTTGACATATGGATATGTCATTAGAAAATACAGGCCAAGTTCGAATTTGGTCATGGTTCGATGATTTTTGGCAGAGTTATGCCCCTTTTACTTTGAAAATAATGTGAAATTTTCAGTTTCCGTTCATTATCTCCCCAACGGTACAACACATTCAACTCAAACTTGACATATGGATGCGTCAAAAGAATGCGCAGGTCATGTTCAAATTTGGTCATGGTTCAATGATTTTTGGCAGAGTTATGCCCCTTTAACTTTGAAAGTAATATGAAATTTTCAGTTTTCGTTTATTATCTCCCCAACAGTACAACACATTCAACTCAAATTTGACATATGGATATGTTTTTGGAATGCCCAGGCCAAGTTGAAATTTGGTCATGGTTCGATGATTTTTGGCAGAGTTATGCCCCTTTCACTTTGAAAATAATATGAAATTTACAGTTTCTGTTCATTATCTACCAGACAGTGTTACATATTCAACTTAAATTTGACATATGGATATGTCAAAGGAATGGGCAGGTCAAGTTGAAATTTGGTCATGGTTTGATGATTTTTTTTGCAGAGTTATGTCCCTTTCACTTTGAAAATAATATAGATACATCTTAGGAATAAGCAGTTTAAGTATGAATTTGGTTGTGGTTCAATGATTTTAGACAAACTTATCTTTCCTGAATGTTGGAAAAATTTTGTACTTTCAGTTTCAGCACTCATACTTTTAGCCATTATTTTGGCTACAAATATGAAATATGTTATTTTTAAAAGGTTAAGACTGAATAATTTCAGTGTCTTGAACATTGTATGAAAATGGTTTGTGTTAACATTTTAAAGTTTTAAGGGCTTTGAACTTAAAATGAAAAAAATAATTAATGCACCATCTGAAATTTTGGCTGCATGCGGGGGCATCCGTGGCATGATGACACATTTCTAGTTTTGTAATTATCGTGCTCATAAAACAGCTATAATATCTCTAGAGACACATTTTTCTTGCTGCAGGATGATGATAAATATATTATGAAGGAAAGTCTCATAATGCTGTTACATTTATAATAACTAAGGTATAGAGTATTTTGTAGAGAATGAGGCACCTACCGGTAGTTGGAAGATATTTATATACAATGTATTTATTACTTTCAACATTCATTGCTCATAGCAAAGTCTCTAATTTGGGACAAGTTTCTGTAAATTTAATATATTACATTGAAAAGTTTCTTACCAGTATATATCAATAAGGTTGCCTAATTTTAGGGTGATAGCACTCTTATAAGTGGATAGGACTACCATTAGGGCACATTTTCCTTAAATCTTTCAAATATTGATATAAACAATAGAAATGTATCATTTGGATATTATTAATTGAAAAAAAAAATTGCCATATTATCAGCAAACATCTGTACTTGTATACATTTCAAGGACAATGTCAGCATAACACCTAAGATATTATGTGTTGAAGTCGAATCAGACAGCTTGCATCTTTGTGCAGTCATTCATAAGCAGGTTAAATAACACAGATTAATAATTTAAACTAGTTTATTCTTAAACTCTATTATAATTAATTGAATTCTAAATGGATTGTTTTAAAATAATACTACATTTCTGTTGTTGAAAACTCTTCAAATAACAAAAATTGGATCAAGATTAGTTGTAAACTGTTTAATGTTGAAACCCCTTTGATTTAAAATGGATAGTCCTGGATTGATATTAAGTTGAAACCCCCATAAATTAGAAATGGATACTGGTAGTTCTAGAAAGAAGGGCAAGTTTATTTTATAAATGAGGTGGTGAACAAGTTTTGGATGTACATAACTTTTTTTTTGGGGTGGGGGGGGGGGGGGAATATGGAAAAATCGGAAATACAGAATTTTTTGTTTCTCTGTTTGCCTGAGATCATGTTGTTGGTTTTTTTTGTAATTTACTGTGATCTGATAAATTGATATAGCACATTTGAAATTCATAGGATCATTGGGAGCTGGAATGTTTCTGAGATATTAATCTTTGCCAATGAATATGTTATAATTTTATTTAGAAATACATTGTAATGCACAAGTAATTACGGAAGGTGTCTGGAATTGTGAATACTTCATATTTTAGTGGATTTGTCCCCAATGCAGACTTTCATTATTTCGCCTATGACTTGGACCAGTTAATTTCCCCCACATCGGCTACTATCAGTTTGAATTCTTTTGGAAATGGTAATACTGATCTGGTCTTAACCCATTACTTCATGAGCATTTTGTGAAAAATGGCTGTTTTCATTGAAAAGTCTCCCGTTACAAGTTCAAATTGCTATAATACTCTAAAAACTGCTTCAACACTAATCAAACTTGGCACAAATGTTGACTGGACAATTGCCCTTGCAACAACATGCTCAGGCTTAAATTTTCTGTTACCATGGCAACGAGGGGACATCTCAAAATTGCCAAAAATCACTATTTTGCGTTGATTTTTTCCATCAAAATTGATTTGAAAGTGCTGCAACTTCTCAATGGATTGAGATAGAGTCAAATGTTTTTCAGCGTTGGTTACACGTTACCTTATGATCAATCTGGGATCATTTACAGCCTCTCACAAGTCCAAAATTTTCTTGGCGATGAGGGGGACTCCGCCCCCCTTCAAACCCCCCCCAAACAGAAGGGGGCACATCCCCCTTCTGGCAACCCCCTGATGTATCTTTTGGTTGGGGGGCCGCGCCGAAAAAGAGGTCACTTTTTTTAACAACATTTCTCAAACAAAAACAAGTGTTTGGGGCCTAAATAAGGCATTTTTTCATCATTTGAGACAACAAAAAGGGGGGGGGGGGTGAAAAAGGCGTTAAAAGGCGTGTATATGAAGTAATGGGTTAATCTTATTGTCATACCAAAACATGCCTTAATGTCGTTGTCATACCAAAATAGGTCTTAATGTAATTGCCATACCATAACATGTCTTAATCTCATTGTCATACCAAAACAGGTTTTAATGCCATTTGTAATACTAAAATAGGTCTTAATGTCATTGTCATACCAAAACAGGCCTTAATGTCAATTTGTCATACTAAAACAGGTCTTAATGTCATTTTCATACCAAAACGGGTCTTAATCTCATTGTCATACTAAAATCTTAACTAAAACAGGTCTTAATATTATTGTCATACGGAAACATTTGATTACATTTAACTTAAACTGAACCCCTTTATTGGGGGTGGGTGAGAGGGGGGGAGGATTTTCTTAGGTGAGGAAACTGTTGATAGTTGTAGATACCAGAAACTGAATAAACAAGTGATTAAAAAATAAAAAATTGTCAGAGTGATCTATACATGACAATGTCATTTGTTAACATCTGGAAGATTAAATCAAACATCATCAACAGCTGTTTTAATCATGTATATGAAAAGTACAAAAATATCATGTATTGAATAGATTTGTTTTCAGAAAGTTTTCCAACATAAAATTGATATTTGTTCAATCGATCATTTGATTGAATGTCATGTTGGTCTGTGTTGTTGATTATTTTTATCTGGACTATCTTAATTAAATGAAACTATCAAGAATAATGTTTGTTTTGAATTAGTATATAAAAAAAAACGAAATCTGTTCTGTTGAAAAACTTGGGTTGAAAAATAAAAATACATGAAATTGAATTGACATTAATTTTTGACTTGCTGATGTTAAACTTGAAGTATGCATATGTTTACTAAAAGCTGATTTAAGTAGTTTTTGACTGTCATGAAGAATTTTAATTATGCCAGCTTTTGTAGATCCAGTCCTTTAATTATTTTAAATGAATACACTTTTCTAAAAAGTCTCACAATACAAATTTTGAGTATTTATAGTCAGATTGCTTTATATGAATATGCTAATAAGTCTAAATAACAAATTTAAGCCCGCCCCGCCTACTTGCAAATCAAGAGAAATCATGAGTCCATATTTTATTTGTAACTATTAAAGTTACATTTAATAAATTTCATAAAAACTAAATAGCGACATTTCATTAATAAATTGGGTTTTATATCGACTCCAGGTCTTATTTTAGTGTCCAAACAACCAAAATGAGTTTTATTAGCATAAAAATAGGTAACCTCATTGTGGCGAAATGGGAAGTACAATTTCTGTTTGCATGAGAAACTCTGCCTTCGGATCATCCGTACATCAGTATTAAATCAACAAACATGACTATAAGTGGCAGTCCTAATTTAACGGTATATTTCTGCATTGTAACAGATGTTTTCATACAAATTTAATCTTTTTACAAGATGATTACTTTTACTGAACCCCAGATTTAGTGCACCGTGAAGCTTAAACGGTTAAAGTGTGTTTGCACCAAGAAAATATCACATTTGCTGTGTTCCGGATAGCAACTATAAAACTGTGACGTAGCGCATACACTCGCTCATTATAGTCTTCATTTGCATGTTAAAATTTGTATACGAACTTTAGTGTTACCGTGGGGTTTCCCGTTTAAAATCCCAATTTATGAACAATATTTGATGAAATTTACAACAAAACTATTAAACAGGTTAATGAAACTGTAGAATGTTTGATTTTTAGGCAGACGACAAAATATTTTGAAATATTTATTTACTGTAACTTTAAGCAATTAAAGAGAAACAAGTCTAGAAGACACCTTTCTAATTTACAATGATTATATAATTTAGAACTAACTGAACAAATACACAAGGAGCAAAATATTAGATATGACATTGAGGGTAACATGTGTGCCTCTCAACTGAGGGGTCATTATAAGGTTCAAGCACTACTCTGTTATTACCATGTTTTCTTATTTTACTCTGGCACTGGTTAATTCTGGTAAAAGGCATCAAGTCTGGTTCAAATAAGTGTCAAGCTTTGTTTCTCTATCAAGCAAAAATAATTTTTTGTAAACAAGGGTAAGCTTGATTAAAACTTTTACTCAGGTACATGTAACTGTTGCTGTTTCCAGTTTTAGATTCCTATGTGCTTCAATTCTGGTGGGAAACAATTGTAAATACTGACAAGTCATTGTAATGTGGTATATGGAGAGTTTTAAACTCACATGATGAATAATTGATGCTATGAAAATATATTAATGATTTGCATTGATTCAATCAAAAGTTTGCTATTCAAGTAAATGGATGGCATAATTATGTCCCATGATATAATACTACATAGATGCCATGCACCTGACAGAGAGTACAGTTATATATAATTAAATTTGGCTGTGATTTTGTACTTTCAGGATGTTTCCGCTGATCTGGTCAACATTGAAGCTGTAGCAGGGGACGCCCTTTTATCTCAGCTTGCCAAAATGACTGTCATCATCACTCATTTAATTGTGGAATTTGCTAAAAATCTACCTGGTTTTACTCGTATTAGTAAAGACGACCAAATTGTTCTGTTAAAGGTTAGTATCGGAGTCTATGTGATTTTATTGTCCCCAACAGAATGACACCAATGTGGCCGAGACACTGGTCACATGTGCAGGGTCAGTTCCCGCCAGCAGAGTTAAAGGATCAGAAACAAAAAAAATTGATATTTGTGATTCAATAGAGAATATTTATTCCTTATTAGAACCTAATTTGATCATTTAAAGCTATTCATACAACTCCTTATCTATCTTAGATAACTGTTTTGTCCCAAGAGTTCAAGCATCTCCAGTATTAATAGGACTGGAAAATCACCATGTAAAACTGCAGATCTCTCAACATTTTGTATTACACAAACTCAGGTACTTCCCTTTATAGAAGAATTCCGTACATTTTTCAACTTTCGAGAGAGTTCAAAATAAAGCTATTTCTTCATTCGAGCAAATGATATAATTCTTTCTGGTGAGTGATTATGCAGACTCTTTGATCAAATGGCCTTGTATTGTACAGGGTAATAGACATTTTGCTAATTTAATTTTTATATTTCAGGCTGCGTGTAGTGAAGTCATGGCTGTACGGGCTGCCAGATGCTATGACCTCCAGACTCGTACCATAGTGCTTGCCAATGGCACCCCTTGCTCACTAGATAATATGATAGCCGCTGGCGGTAGCACAGACTACTGGAAACAGGTTTTCAACTTTTGTCACGCGCTGGCTGATGCGCGTACTGACAATACAGAATATGCTCTGTTCACTGCGATTTGTATATTTTCAGGTAAAGTTTATAAAAGGAACACATACTATTCTCTCAGAAACGAATAAATTTTTTGTGATTTGTATATTTTCAGGTAAAGCATAGTATATTTCTTATAGGCATATTACATCTCAGAAATAAATAATTTCCTTCCTAACAAAAAGCAAGAATTAGTTTCGAAACGTTGAGATATGGTTTTAGAGCATATTATTTTTGTTAAAGGCACATTATGCCTCAGAAACAAATCTTTCCTTCATAAGAAAATGCTAACATTAGTTTTTAAACCTTCAGAGAATGTTAGATGCTTATCACCTTAAGAAAAGAAGCACTGAATGTGAAATTATCAGTCATAATCATAGCATATATTATTTAAACAAAGAAGAATTTTGACTTTCATACAAAATAGCAAATCACTTTAACTGAACTTATTGTAGAAGAGCAACAGAAGCAATGCATTGTTCAGGTAATACGCCAATGAGTGACATTTTGGAAAACAAAAAAAAATGTGAAATAAAGATTAAGCACATCTGGGGGATACTGGGCCTTTGAACTAAATTAAAAATTAAAACACAAAAACATTATATAATATGAAATAAGTTGTGTTTTTGTTGATAAATTATTATACTAATGTGGCTAAGGTAATTATAGATAAATTATCCTGGAGAGACGGTACACAGTTAGTAAATGAACTAAATGCACATAGACAAAAGTTATATTACTGATTTAAAAGCAATTACTTTGATGTATATAAATTTGCAACATTATGTGAAGTTTATTAGTTAATTAAATGTACATAATTATAATCAGTATTTGTTACATTAAAGCTTCTTAATATTTGATTGAAGTTGAAGGATCACATTGCATTAAGTGTGCAATCCAATTTTCAAAAAAATGCTGATAGTGAAGAGGTACACTAATTACCATGATAATTAACATAAATTTGCATAATAATTTAAGTTCTTTATTCACCACCTATATTTTGCTGTGTGTAAAATATTTTTCAATACATGAATGTTAACTATTAATCAGGGTGTCATTTAAGGCACACTGTTATTATCCCCCGCCGAAAATTTTCGGCGGAGGATATAGAAATAGTCTCCGTCCGTCCGTCCGACCTTCCGTCCGTCCGTCCTTCCGTCCGACATTTTTGTCCGGAGCATATCTCTAAAAGTATTTGAGTTATCAACTTGAAACTTCATAGGTGGATAGACCTCATTGAGGAGAAGTGCAGTGCACAAGAATGATAACTCTACCTTGCATGTTTTTTGAGTTATTGCCCTTTGTTATTTTTCAAAATTGATTTTTGTCCAGAGCATAACTCCAAAAGCCTATGAGATATTAACATGAAACTTCATAGGTGCATAGATCTCACTCAGGAAGTGTGCAGTGCACATGAATGATAACTCTACCTTTCATAATTTTTGAGTTATTGCCCTTTGTTATTTTTCATACTTAATTTTTCACCTGAGTGGAGCATAACTCAAAAAGTGTTTGAGATATCAACATGAAATGTCATAGGTGGATAGATCTTATTGAGGAGGAATGTTATATGTGGATAGACCTCATTGAGGAGGAGTGCAGTGCACAAGAATGATAACTCTACCTTGCATGATTTTTGAGTTATTGCCCTTTGTTATTTTTCAAAATTGATTTTTGTCCAGAGCATAACTCCAAAAGCCTATGAGATATTAACATGAAACTTCATAGGTGCATAGATCTCACTCAGGAGGTGTGCAGTGCACATGAATGATAACTCTACCTTTCATAGTTTTTGAGTTATTGCCCTTTGTTATTTTTCATACCTAATTTTTCACCTGAGTGGAGCATAACTCAAAAAGTGTTTGAGATATCAAAATGAAATGTCATAGGTGGATAGATCTTATTGAGGAGGAATGTTGTTCGCAAGAATGATAACTCTTCCCTATACAATTTTTGAGTTATTGCCCTTTGTTTTTTTATGCTATTTTGTCCAGAGCTTATTTCAAAAAGTATTTGAGGTATCAACTTGAAACCTCAAAGGTGGATGGATCTCATTTAGGAGGAGTGCAGTGCTTAAGAATGATAACTCTACCCTGCATTATTTTTGAGTTATTGCCCTTTGTTATTTTTCAAAATTAATTTTTGTCCAGAGCATAACTCAAAAAGCCTTTGAGATATCAAAATGAAACTTCATAGGTGCATAGATCTCACTCAGGAGGTGTGCACTGCACAAAAATGATAACTCTACCTTTTATAATTTTTCAGTTATTGCCCTTTGTTATTTTTCATACTTAATTTTTCAATTCAATTTTTTTCTCAAAAAGTATTTGAGGTATCAACTTGAAACTTCATAGGTGGATAGATTTTACTGAGGAGGGATGCAGCACACAAGAATGATAACCTACCCTGCATTATTTTTCAGTTATTGCCCTTTGTTATTTTCATTCATCAGTATTCACATAGGTTTCAAATCTGTAATCACTATAGCCATCAGTTTTCATTACCAAAATACCTCTTAAAATAGAATTATTCTGTTCTACTACATATACATTCTTCCAATGAGCAAACACATTCGGCGGGGGATGGCCATGTTGACATGGCTCTTATTATATATTGAGACTAATAGCACATTATGAGGGCCAGGTGTGAAATGTTTGTAACTCATATAACATAATGAAGGAGTTACATTAGCTTTGCCTCAGGCACTATAATTCAATATAGCTAAATAGATTGAAATAACTTTCCTTGCTGTAATTTGAAGGTAGATAGAACATTATGAGATATAGCAAGCTTGATCCTCATTGATAAAGAAAATTGTCTAGGATTTTTTTGTTTTCCATCATTATACTTAATTTCTCATTGATGCAGTTCTTTAATCAACTTATTTTCACAATACTTCTGTGAATCTATTAGACTATTGAGACAAAAGATCTTATTACTTTATTTTGTTTGTGCAATTGTTCAAAAGTGTCTGTGAAATTCATCTTGGACAAATTCCTTGAAGCGTAATTTCATCTTAAAGTGAATCATGTCACATCAAAATATTGATTACTCACTGGCGTATACTGCTTTGTATATATTCATAAGAAAATAATTCATAATAGAATAACCTTGAATCAAATTTAAATATTTTGTTATAATTTGGTATGAAATTTTTAAAACTTAAGTTTAAAATAGAGTTTATGTTGTTTTTTATAAATGAAAATGTTAAAGGGACTATATAATTATACATTGAGGTTTTCGACATGATGAGACTGAAGATAACTTTTGAGATTAATCTTCCATTTAAAGTAGGTCTACAACAAAAAAGTTGTGTGCAAAATTTCAAATCATTCACTCACTCCATTTCTCAGAATAATAATTTGTATGGTTAAACATAACATAAAATTGAAAAATATTGCAACGCTTTTCACTTACATGTAAATCAAGCAAAAATTAAGATTTTTAATTTATTTCTGAGTAAATTTCTTAATTATCATTCTGTTATAAGTGTCCAAGAAATTCAAATTTTACGTTTGAAGGCTTTTGTACCTCAGTGGAGTTCCTTTAAATACAAGGATTGATAATAAGAATGTTTATGCTGTATGAACTGTTATTTCTTTTTCTCATGTACAAGAGTACACGAATAATCATGTGGCGTTACAAATGTCTATGAATGGTCTGGGCCTCCATGGCCAAGATGTCAAGGTTGTTGGCTTTGAACCACTTTTCCATCTTGGCTGTGGGTTCTTTAATGTTAGGTAGATATCAATCAAGCTTACTGAAGGTCAGTGGTTCTTACTCAGATGATGGGTTTGTGCTTTAAAATGCATAGAAGAGCATAATATGAGGGTTCCGTCCACCAGTAAAAGGCGGAAGGTCACCCTGTGACCTTAATAGTGTTTTTGTGACTAAAAAACAATTTTATAAGAAAGTAATAAATATGATTCACACATGTATAATGAATAATGTTTACAAATCGATGGCTCAGCGCAATACTGGTCTAAGTGACATTTTTACCAAAAATCACCTTTTTACATATTTTGATAATGTAAGGTCAAATACACATTCTGTGAAAATTTTAGGGTAATTTTTGCTTTTTTTGCCTTTTTTATTTACATTTAAAATAAAAGTCTATCTCAGGTAGTTCAATTTTGTCAGTGCAATATAGGTCTAACTTGAGTTGGTCTCTTATTGCGATGTCTAATACATCAATTTTCCTCAAAAATGCTTGAGTTAGACCTTGAATGTTTCATTTCCAGGTAGAAAATAATATGCATATCCCATTGAAATGTGTTATAAAGAATGTGAGAATTCATGAAAACACTAGAAATTATTTGCCTTTGTATTAATCGCAAAATATTAGCCAATTGCATATCATGTACAAGTAACTGTAAACGAAAAATCTTGAAAAAAATTAATAATAATTTAGTGTCACAATTAAACATCTATTTTGTCTTTGAAGTCATAACATCATACTCATACTGTATTATTTGATAACATAAAGTGTAGTTGAAACTATCATTTTTGTACAATTTAGTAAAAGCCAGTGTATGTTTCTCATGCACACATTTAAAATGGAAAATAACGCGTGGTACACTAGTGGATTCATAACCTCTGATCCCCCTCTAAAAATTCCTTTTTTTTTAGTTTGACCTTTGTTTAATCATATACTGAGATTTCCTAATTCTTAATTTTACACTTTGTTCATATTTATATAATGCGTTCTGCTTAAGATGGTGTAAGGGGGTAGACTGTACATTGTTTCACTGCCAAATCAAACTCAGCCTGTAGCACAATGAACAATTTCAGGTTTGAGGGCGTTCTTGGGTTTTTATTTTTAAATTATGTATCTACTTCTGTATCACTCTCTTTAATCAAGTAAAGTTATTTAAGAAATAATATATCCCAAACTGTGATTTTATTGCTCATTATCATCACTGTTTGGAGTTCGGATGCCAGGAATTATATCACGAGGGCGTAGCACGAGTGATATAATGATGCGCATCTGAACGACAAACAGTAATGTTATCAAGCAATAAAATCACCGATTTGGATATATTATTTCGATTCTAACACAACATTAACACGTTCCTGATATTTAGCTAAATTGCGCCTGATTTGTTTCCGGTCTTATTGTCAGCGCGTCACATTTTTAGTGGTTACGTCACGTGTATAATGATAAAGTCACACGTCTAAATATAGAATGTCAAACAGTGATTTTATAGCATAATAACACATACTTTCGGTTCTTCTATGTTCAATAGGGAAAAATGCAGGTCGTGTTAGATATATAAACTTTACACTATCAACTCAAACAATACAATAACAATATAGTGTCAACATGTGCAAATCACACTCTCCACAATACTTATATTATTGATACAATATCTTTCTGTCTGATGTGATATGTGCAGAAAAAATTAAAAATATGCACACTTATATATTATTATTTAATGACCTTTTCAGTTCTTGTATTCTGATAATTTTTTACATCACACAGCTCGCATTGAATTTTCGAGAGTGCAATTGTCAAAAACTCTTTGACTTATGTGGCAGAAACAGCTATAAGTTGATAAAAATGTTTCATTTTAGATCTAAAAGCCATTAATTTTACCTATCAAATTTAATGAAATTAAAAATGTAATGACTATCATTTAATGAAATTAAAAATGTAATGACTATCATTTAATGAAATTAAAAATGTAATGACTATCAACTGCTTTTGGTATAGTATCAGTGTCAATGAGAAAATTCAAACATTTATCCATTCTAATTGTTTAGTGCTAATCGTGCGCCTTTTCATATCTTAATGAGTAAGTGGTTGCAAGTGTTTTAACTTTACAAAAATGATTCTGAATTATATCATGTGCTAACAATACTTTGTTCTATGAACCCTGATAGTGGGTTGTACTGCCCTACTTTTTTATCTAAAATATGTTTGACAACCTCTTGTTATTTGGTCAAAATTTAGAGGTAAAATGACTTTGATATATAAAATGAAACACTTTTCTTAAGATATGCACAGTTTTCAGCAAAACATGTCATAAAATTTGCACATTTCATGTTCAAATTATACTCTAAACAGTTGAGAAAGTAAATACAAAATATGTAATAAAAGCATGGTCTAACGGCGGCTTTCATTTTTGAAAATATTTGATATCTATAAATGATTATATCATCAGAAAAGAGGACCACATACATTAAATTCATTAAGATTTAGCGCATAACAGTAATATCGGAATCACAGCATTTAAGCACCAATGGTGGAAATGGTGTGCATTGAGAAAATAAAATGTGTCTTCTTTGTACAAATGTGAGTTATACAAAATGTACATTAATCCCTGTTTTCAAACTTTGATGATATCATAATATATACCTGGATTGTCAGGCAACATTGTTCATGACTACTGTTCATAACACTATATGAATCAAATTGTTTGCATTTTGTTTAGAATTCAAATTTATTGCACAGATAATCTGCAAAAGATCTTAAGTAAATCTGAATCTCAAACAAATTGAAAAAGAAGAATTATAGAAGTGTACTTTCATCTAAAGTCAGCTAGCATGACATATTAATAGAAAAATATTAAAGGATTTAGTCTTTGTAAAGTTCTTCTACAGACTTGCAAAATATTTTAAACAATGTTTAAATTAACAAAACAATTTTGTTCAAATTTATATCAGAATATTTAACATAAAACAGGTCTAACTCAAATATGTGTACCACTTTTACCAAATTGCAAGAGGGAATTTGAGTCTAACTCAAGTTAGTCTTGTATTGCGCTCAGAATTTCAGCGCAATAAAGGTCTAACTCTAAAATACACAATTTGTAACACTTTAATAAAAAATTATATAAATGGCATTATTTCTTATTATAATTAATGTTAACATAGCAAAAAAATATGTTCTAATATAAGTATTTTTGAATAAAATCAGTTTTTTGTCTCTCCTGAACATTTTCAAAAATAGCAGTTAGACCAGTATTGCGCTGAGCCATCGAAATGTTATGAATAATCATGATAACATTATTATGTAAATTAAAGAAAATATATAGATGTTTATGTTTTACATATCCTATATAATATTGGCAAATGTGAATAATCATGTTGTGCAGAATCAATTACTAGATAATCATGGTTAATAACTATGTTTTAAACTTGATTTTAATATTCATGTTTAACAAATTTATATGAATAATCATATTTACCAATTTAAATGAATAGTCATGTTTGTTAGTGATTGAATCATTTTTTATAAATGAGCCGCGTCACGACAAAACCAACATAGTGAGTTTGCGACCAGCATAGATCCAGACCAGCCTGCGCATCCATGCAGTCTGATCAGGATCCATGCTATTGGCTTACCAACCCTTTTACAAGTAGAGAAAATAATAGCGAACAGCATGGATCCTGATCAGACTGCGCGGATGCACAGGCTGGTCTGGATCCATGCTAGTCGCAAACCCATTATGTTGGTTTTGTCATGACGCGGCTTAATATTTACATAATAAATATGATCACAAGCTAATATTAACTTTTCTTTGTATTTTAATTCAGAGCGCCATGACATTAAAAATAAAGACCAAGTGGAGCAGATACAGAAAATTTATGTGGACGCTTTGTCAGAATACCTTGAGAAGAAGCGGTATCACAGCGGCACGTGCCTCGCCAAGTTGCTCGTACGTCTCAGTGATTTACGTAGCATAAGCATCGAGCATTCGAAAATGTTGACTATGATGCACATGGACGAGGGTTTAATGCCGCACATTGTTCAGGATATATACATTCAAAATTCATGAGGAAAAAAGAGAACTTGAGTTGTACAGGGTTACATATATATGTTATCATTGTTAAGTTTTGATAAAAAAAATGTGAGGGAAAAAGTGCAAAAAAAAAATGTGTAAAAAATAAAATAAAATTATATTGATGATTATATTCCTGGGGAAAAGATATAATGAAAAGTGCTGAATACTTACATATGCTGACAGTTTTTTTTGGTATGAACAAGCAAATTACCATGTGATGGAAACTTGAAAAAGTGAATTCTGAGAAGTGTACTTAAAAGTGTATCAAAATACTCTGATAAATTTGAGATGATACAATATGGAAATTTATCACATAGACAAGCTGCCAATAGTAATATATATATATAACATAATTATTCATGTGTAGTACTGGTATTACAAACTTAAAGCTAGCCACGCATCACACGTTATGATATGGTCTGAAGTTGCCAGTCTGAAGTTTTTTGTGGGTTTTTCGCCAATTTCTATAAATAGACAGAAGTAAAACAGCTGGGATTGACTATGACACGAAGAAAGCAGACAAAATAAGAGACAGATATTCGATAGAGTTTGTCTGAAATTATGATCATATGTTAAAAATTCAAGAGCAGAAGCAGACCTCACAATAGTGCAATGAAAAGGAACGACAAATGCTTATAATTCATGTTATTCCGATTCAGTGATGTTACATTTATTACTGTACAATCTTTTATTTATATCCAGTACAATGTTATTAATTTAAGATATGAAAGGATTTTGTTTCAAACATATGCTAACACATCTTCCAAATCCATGAAACTTTTTTGGAACAATTTTTTTCTCTCGCCAGATTTGATATCAATTAGATCTATTTCTAAAATGGAAAGAAAGAAAACAATTTATATAGACCTCTTGCAATTGATTTTTCAAGCCCAAATTCTAATTTCCCTTAGACTTAACGCTTCTTTGAAATAAAATCTTTCCTAAAATTGAATTTGGCGATCAAAATTTTGAAACTCTGCAGGAGATAAGTTTAGCACTAGCTGCATTCTGGGATGGGTATTGATTGTTCATAATTCCAGAACTCTTTATTGATCCTTCAGCAGATTTTTTCCTTTCTTGGGTAATAACAAATTACTGCGATATAGCAGACAGGATATTAAAATATTAAATTGATCAAAAAAAGAAAATATCTAGAGAAAATGCCAACTCGTGCTTTTACATTAATCCAGTTTTCGATTAGACTGTATCCTGTTGGATTTCTAAAGCAACTTTTTTTCTGTTGATGTATTAATGGTACATTAGGCATTAATTAGTTTTTGTAATTATTGTATCATTATCTAAACAGGTCATCTTGACACCATTCTGTTATTAAAAATTCATGAGGGTTATACATGTATTCAAATACTGTATTAAAAGTACAAATATATAGTAATTGCTTTAAAGTAATTGAGTACAATGAGTGGGTTTTAGTGTCATTAATATAATTGGAACTCTTAAGCAGCACATGTGGAATATCAAAAGTTTACATTAAATACCAATAGCTTTTTTTTACCCACATCTATTCAACCTGCATGAATTTCTATCAGGCTATAAAAGTAGTAACAGAAATGAATGCTGGGTGTTTAATTTTTTTTTGTCAACTGAGACTTTGGCTAATTATACATGCAGATAATTAAGGCACAGAACATGATTAACCTTCTCTGGAGCAAAGTTTTGACAATAATTTATTTGACTCAAGCATATTTATTTACAATATAATTACCATCAAATACAAAAAAAGGATTGAGAAGAAAGCAACTAGTATTTTAGAAACTCTCTCCTGGAGCTTATAGTCTAATGATCTGAAGAAATTGAAATGCTGGAATATTAACTCTTCGGATCTCAGTATGATAATGCCTAACTTTCGCAGTAGAAAATGCCTAACTTTAGCAGGCAACAATGGTGTCTGGTCAGGTATAAAGTATTCTGACTTGGGTCTGCTATAGCAACATGGATTAGTTGTTATTGTTGTAGACACACAGTAAGGGTTAAACAGCTATTTATCAAAGAAAATTCTAGGATTTGTTTACTCAGACAAAAATGACTAAAAGATTTCAAAGGCTAGACCTGTTTCTCAATGGCAAAATAATGGCTGAGAACATTTCTAACCGAGAACATTAATTTGGACTTAAAGCCAATTTGTAGTTAGATTCTTTTTTGCAGAACATATTGGTTGTACATAGGAATGCATCAATTCACCATATCTATTTAATTATTAAGGCTATTGTGTTTTCTGCATTGAATATAAGCATATTATGTTTGTTTTAATGTATGTAGCTGTTACAGTGTTTTGATAATAAGCTCTCAACAGATGTTGCACACTGTTGATGGTGATATATGGCTGTTATAACTCACTTCTTGTATTGTGATAATAAACTGCTGTTACAATACACTCCCTATGGTAACAGTTTACAGTCGACCATACTGCCACCCTGTGTGTGATAATATGTAGCTATTACATTTTACTCCCTGTGTGTGGTGATATTGTACTTGCTCTGTGTGATAACATGCAGCTATTACATTTTACTCCCTCTGTATGATTATATATGGTTGTTACATTCTACTCCCTCTGTGTGATAACATACAACTGTTACAATATCTCCTTCTGTATAGGATAATAACACACAACTATTACATTCTGCTTGTAAAAGTGTATGTAGATTGTATATCTTTTTGTTGCCAGCACTATATTGACACCACGAGACTTCATTACTTTAATTACCTAAATCAATACTGTTCATATCTGTAGGATAAAGGAATTTAATTTAGATGGAAAGTTTAACTGATAAAAGACTCTGCTATGTCAAGATGTCTGTAGTTGATATAATTATTTCTGTTCTAAAGCTTTGAAAGATTTCTATTCATCATCAGTTGCTTGAATAAGTTTTAAAGATTTTGTGCTTTTATATAAGGAATATTAGACTGTTATATTAATTAGGAAATTAATGTACTGACTGAACAGTGAACATTGCAGGCCATTATCAAGACCACATAAGAACTAAATTCACCGAGACGTTTAATATGACACATTAAAAGGAGATAAAAATAAAATTATAATCATGGTCATAAGAACTTTTCTATTTTATCTACATAAAACACTGCAAATTTGAAATGGTATTTTTCCTTCTCTACACACACCTCTCAAGTTGCAAAATTTTAGTGTAAGAAGTATTTATTTTCAAAAATGAGGAAATATGTATGACAACCCTGATTATAAAAGTTGTTTTTATACCAATTGATTGTTAACATATAAGTAAGGATGGCTGTCATTAAAGGTAATGCATAAACTTAATGATCTCATTACTGATGACTCTTATATGACAAAGAATCAAATTAGTTACGGAAAAGATCTTTTGGGATTTAAGATGTAATACATATGGAAATTTTCAACAGTTTGCAAATTTGAATAAATGTTTTTTTATTGATATTCAGAAAATCACTTTGGAAAATGTGTAGAGTTTTTACAAGGATGTTGTTCTACAGTGATGAAGAAGAAGGACTTTTATTTGTATTTACCCCTAAGAAGGGTCATTGACAAAGCATAGATATCTATACATAAAAAAACAGAAACCTGGAAATACATGACAAGAAGTTGAGATGGCTTATCCATTCACATGAAGTAATATTATAGTAAAATAGGAAAGTAGCCTCATATACAGTTTGAGCTGTACCATTTTGTGTTTAAAAATAACTAAAGATGAGGGAATTTCTTTTAATAGTGGTGAAAGTGTTCAGCACTGATAAATACAACAAACTTGTGATTTCCTGTATGGTTTTGAGAAAAAAAAAGAGTAAAATTATCATGAAATTATTATTTCCCCTTCCAAAGCCCTTTTAAATAATTATTGCACAACCTGTGAGATTTTGAAGAGTGGAGGCACGGCATTCAGTGCTCCATCATTTTCACTTCATGTTCTTAAAGATTGGCTGGATTTATGTGAAATTTTACTGTTTAAAAACAATCAATACCCAACCTAGTTGTTAAATGTAGTCGGCATGGTGGTGTTACAGCCCTTTTCTAGTTTTTTTTTATAACATAAAGGGGTATAACTGTTATTTGTGTCAAGTACAGTGTATGTTATATATACATTGATGATATATTTGCTTCAAGGTAGTGACTTGTTAAGATGAAAGCTCAAGGTTGTTTCAGATTCCAGAAACAATCCAGATTCTTCATATTGGTGCATTTTGATTGGCTAATTACTGTGTGTTACTATAGTTAGATGATGATGATGATGATATTACTTTATTTATAAGTTTTAATCCATGTTAATGATATGATTTAACAAGAATTTTAGTTGAAATCTTTTTTTTTTGCATATATAATATATATATATTTACCATGTTATATTTTTGTGTGTATATATTATATATAATACATGGCATTGTTATTGTATAGATAATGTATTAAGAACAATAATTTATCATGTATACTTAGGTGAAAAAGAAACGAGACATTGTAATATTTTTGCTATACATTTGAAAATGAAACTGTCAGATGATTTTTGTTAACTTACAGAAGAGGAGTGATTCTCAGCCCAGAATTAAAAGATAGGGGAAGGGGATGTTGACCTGGGCAACAGGCTTTGGAATCCCATGTTTTAATTTATCCAACAAGCATGGTCATTATTTATGCCCTTGTAACTAAACTATTAAATTGGAAATTTGAATTATATTTAGATCTTGTAACTTCTCAATAAAAACAGACAATGTATCTTAGATTTTTTTTCTAATTTCAGTGAGAAGAAATTTCAATTGAAAATGTTTTATCTGGTTTAGAATTCCTTTTTTGACTACTGTGCGCTATATAGCACAAATGTCTTACAATTTTAATTTTCTATTTCTCCTAAAGTATATATATAAAGTTGAAAATGAAACATTGGGGGCATTTTTGAATGAATGTTATTAGTAAGAAAGTTTGTAAAACCTGTTACATACTGTTGTATCAAAGATCTCAAACATGATGTGTTTACCTCTCAGATCATTGTATTGTTAGGTGTTGTTGTTTTTAAAACAGCACCACTCCAGATGAGGTGTCAAGATTTTAAGCAAATTCAATGAATTGTTTTGCGAAAAAATATATTAAGTTTTCAAGAGTTTAGGAAAAATAACATTCTGCTTGTAAAAGTATATATAGATTGTATATCCTTTTGTTGCCAGCACTATATTGACACCGCGAGACCCCATTATTTTAATTACCTAAATCAATACTGCTCATATCTGTAGGATACAGGAATTTAATTTAGATCGAATGTTTAACTGATAAAAGACTCGGCTATGTCAAGATGTCTGTATAGTTATTTTGTTTCTAAAGCTCTTTTGACTGTAAGAATTTCTATTTTTTTGTCACTAAGTACTTTTCCATCACATATTTAGACCCCAAAAATATGAAATCTTAAGGTCATTTATTTCTAAGACTAGAATAAAGCATTTTATATTTACTATAGACAAAATAATTGAAATTTGCAAAAGAAATAATTTAAAAAAAGAAATTAATTTGAATCTGGGAACATGGTACAGAAAAGGAAACTTCTCTTGGTTTTGCATCTAAAGATTATCTGAAGTTGAGCAATTTATGGTCATCTGGACTCTCTTGTTTATTGGGACTGTTTTTTATGGATAACTTTGTTACTGCTTAAGTAAAATTGTAGTTTTATAATTATATATTTATCATATGTCACTGCTGCACATTTATTGACTTATAAGGTTGCTTACATACATTCTTACTTGATTAATTGAGAAAGATATCATTTGTTTGCTCTTGTAAATTCTTAAGTTGCTGGATTTTGTATAAATTTTTGTCAATTTTGTCAACTGTTTCTGAATACACCTTCTTTCTTTGATTGATATCTCATATCCATGATAAAGGGTAAATGCATTGGTTCGTGTTTGTGTCTTTTGACATTTTCTGCCATTTCTTTATAATAGTCAATTATCAAGTTGATCAACTGATCTTTCATGTTTTTTTGTATGCTGTAACATTCATAGAGAAGCAAATGGTCAATATTTAATGAAAATAATGGATATTTCTCTTTTTTCTGTAGTTTCACATTGATTACAGCAGTAGTGGCACCAGGGATCAAGGTTCATCAATCAAATACTGCATGTCATTGTTATTTATGATTGTATTGCATTACTTGATTACCATAGTCCCATTAATCTGAGTTCAGTGTGTGACATAAAATGGATTCAAGGTCTCCAGGTGTCTAATCTATGACTGCAAATCCTGCTTTTTTTACTCAACCATACACACCTAGTATAATGCTGTCAAGTATTTTCTAGCCCATTTCAAATCAAACATTTAATAATCTATTTGAATCATGTCAGTTTCCTTTTTCATTTAGTTATATATTGTATATGGCTCCATTATTTTAGTTGATTTTATCTGGTATATACTTTGTTTTACATTAAGTTTAACATTGTGGTAATGATGTTTGTTTTGTGTTATTTTGTACTGAATTGTATTGGTACCTCACAGGTGGTTAGTTTTGTCCAATCTAAACCAGCTGAGAGTTTGTACACTGAAGACACAGAATCTTATATGATTATGAAAAATAAGTGACAGTTGTAAAATTCCTTGCATATCTAACACACAAGAGGGTATTATTTTTAATCACATATTTGCATTCAGTGTTAACAATTTACACAACCTTGAAGTAGGAGTGAAATATCAAATAAATTTCACTTTATGCTCTCAATGTGAGTGGTATGCATTAGATTATTATGTGGTGAAATATCTTTTTTGAATTAATGTGACTTGTTCACTGAGAACCATTATACAGTAAGCAATACAGCTTATATATCACTGAAAGTTTTAAATATTTCTTTCAAGTTGAATATAACATATATTTTCTCATTATGGACTTGTAACAATCACTATAGTGCAGTAACAGTATAACTCCTAATTAGATAATTTATTAGGAGTTAGCCCTTTACTGCACTAAGGTACCTTTTCAATATACTTGTTGTTTAAGTTACTTATTAAATTAAATAAACTTACCTTTTCAAAATTTCTTTAACACGATATCAGGAGCTTATTTACTGCCAAATATTTCTAAGGGCTATGTTTTGGTAAAATATGTTAGGTGTTTTTTTTCCTGCAGGATAAGCCATTTTGCTCAAATATTACATGAATGGTTTAGAAATTTTGTTTTATTTGTTATTTTTATGACCAGCATTTACACAAAAGGCTCATATTTATGATTTTGTATATGATTTTGTAAGAGTATATAATGTTGGAAGTCTTTGGGGGTTTTTTGTTGTTTAAAAGGGGGAAAAAATTTTGATACATGAACATAATTATTTTTTCCCATAGCTTGGGTCCTAAGTCAGATTATAATTTGGAAATCGCTTAAAGTCTTAGGCAAAGCAAAAACTTGGGTGCGTAAATTAATTTTTGAAACATTTATAGTTAGTTGTCAAACCAACAGTTGGCTTCATCATTGACCACGGTTTATGTCCCTTTAACATTTGTTTTTGATTAAGAAGTTGCCAATTTGTCAGCATATGTTTCTGTAAGGTTAATAAGATTTTCTTAACATTTGACTGAATGTCAAAACAATTTATAGCTGATATTCTATAGACTTGAATAATATTTTATCAGATTCAATAACTGATTGCATGACTTTCAAATAAGTTCACCACTGTTTAAACTCAGTGAATGTTAGATACAATATTTATGGCATTGTTGCATTGAGGACTTGAGAGACTATTTAAAGTACTGGTATATCCCTGATAGCATGATTCCTTATACTGATATTTATTTACTTAACTATTATTCAAAATAGTAAATTCTTATCAGTCAGTGTATAAGACCCATAACATGGATCTTGAAAGAATTATGGTCCTTTTTTGAACTTAAAAGATTCTACATAATCAAGGCTCTTGTTTTACTATTAAGCACAGAGAATAGTCTTGCCCGCTGCCCTACAGATAGCTCTTGTTCATTTGTACACCTTGAGCATATCAAGCTTTTTTGTATTTCGTTTTTTTTTCTTGTTCTTTTGTTGCATTCCACATTTTATTTTGTATTTAACAGGGATCTCAGACTTTTTCCTGCTCATTTAAGAAAAAAAATGGTATTTTCATTTGTAATTGAAGTTTTATGTGTGGTTTAATGTCCGTCAACTGGATTTGAGGAAAACCATTTTTTTATAATTATTATTTTCTTATGAAAGAATAAAATAGACGGAAAAACATATTATATATGGTATTCTTATTCATTTTCACAGTGGATATATTTTAATGGGATGTTTAATAAATTTTTTATGCTCTTTACTAGCCCCTAAATATCTTTAAAATTTTGGACCTTCCAAAATGTTAGGACAAAAACCCTTTTATTTTAATTTTTGCATGCTATCTGGACAACACGGGAATACCATTTTTTTGGGAAAAACTATTTACGCTTAGGAACTGCCATAGTGGAAGCAGATATACGCACTGTATTTCTGCCTTCTAATATGAATATGGCCAGAGGCTGAGGGGGTTTAAATTTTTTGGGATGATAATTTATTTACCTTTTTGTTAAATTTTTTGAGTGGGATTATGCTTAAATGGCACTTTTGCCCAGGTATAGGTGATTGCCAGATATAGGTGATATTTATTTTTAATAACCATGCATACCTCACATGTTAGGTTTTTATCATAATATGTTTTTATTGCAAACCATGAAAATGGCTGGCGTATATAATAATTATTAAGAGCTTAGAGTAAAATGGTTGTCATTTAAAATACGAGGTACACGCATTTTGCACTATACTCTCAGTGTTTTATTTAATATCATTGTTTGCTGTCACTTAAACAAAAACGCACAGTTTTTTTAACTTGTCTACAGCAGGCCTCTTTCAAATATTCTATTTGAAAGACTCTGGTTCTGTTTAAGAATATCACAACTTTTAGGTGCATATCAATTTGTAAAAATATGATTTTACACCACTTTCTGTTTAGTAAAGATTTTAGGCCAATATCTGTTTTAATATTGGGTCATCTTTGCAGAACATATATTAGTTTTTACAATACACTCTAAGCATTTTATAATGTAAAAGCCAATATTTATTTATGACTGCTACATATATGTAAATACTTTCTAGTATATGTAACTTCTATTAAATTCTTATTATTTCTTTTTCCAGATATTTTTTGTGCATGAGTGTCTGTGGTAGATGTTTTAATTTTTGTTATAATTGAATAAATGGCAAATTGGTGCATTTGGACGTTTGATATGTTATGATATATTTTGAGAGGGAAAAAATGTGTACATAGATTTAATTTTATCTTTCGGTTAATTTTTATGTCAAGCTCAGTTCTCCTTCTCTACATACATAATTATATATCGCTGTCACTTTTAAATTCCATTTTCAATTTTTTTTTTTTTTTTTAAATTTTGTTTTCCAGCCAGAATACCTTGCTTGTTAACATAATGATTCATGTTTGTGTTTCAACAAAAGCATCTCAAATTTAAATTTTATTATATATTTATAATATTGTTGTTAATATAACTTAACAGTGCTTCTTGCCTATGTTTGGAAAGATTCTTTTATTTCTCTGTTGTTTTTAAACATATTCCTATTCATCTGTTTATCATGAAATATGGACATTGCATTCTTTTATGTAAGAAACATATTAAGCTTGCAAACTATAGATTGTTGTTGCTTTCTTTGATGGTGCCACTTACATGTATATCGTTAATAATGAAATGCAGTTTCGGGCGCATTTATGGACTCCAGCAATGGACGCTTGAAATAGTTTTTGTGTGGCATAAAGCACAGTAAAATTGTTAAAGGACACAAGGGTTCAGAAGGCGGATAAAGAATGAATTTAGATTTGTTTATTATGTTTAAAATTGTTGGGAAATATTCTGAATTTTAAAGTGGAACAAAGTATGTCATTTTATATGTTTTATACATAACGGGTTCCAGTTTTTACAAATATATACTAAAATTTGTTTTTTTTAAAAATGGCATGGGTCTAGGGTTTTAAAGCTAAAATTTAAAAGTAAAAATTTTTTAAAGATTTAAAAATAGTTTTAAATGGGGCAAAATGAAAAAAGAAAATTTTATTTAACATTTTTCCCAAAAAGGCCCCTCAAAATCTACAAAAAATACTAAAGAAAGGTCAGAATAAGCAAAAAAGCCTGAAAAGCGTTTTTCACACAGTAAAAAAATTAAAACATTGAAATTTCAAAAATTATAAAATGTAAATTTTTTTTTGAAAATTTTGAAATATTTTAAATTTTTTTTTTACCAAATTTTTGGGAAAAATTTTTAAAAAAAGATTAACTTGAAAAATTAAAAGGGTTTATCTGAAAGGGGATAGCCCTTTTAGAAAAAACAACCCCAAAAAAGTTTCTTTTTTTACGAACAACATTGGGTTTGGCTCCCAGTGGGTGTTGAAACAATGAAAATTTGTGCTGAAAATTTAATTGTTTTATTCCCCCGTACGGTTTAAGGTTTTTATGACATTGTGTGGATGCGAAAATGTAATGTTGTTACTCATTGTATTCATGTTAACATCGACATAAGGGACAAAACTCAATAAATGTTGATAGTTACTTTCAGTCTATGTTAAAAAAACACGTGTTTGTTATCTTTCCACCCATGGTACAGGGTTTATCCAAATTTATTACCCCGTTTCAGGTAGATTTGCCCGTGTCCGTCCTACTTACTGCCCTGTTGTCACACTGATTGCCCAAAAACTGAAAAGTAGATGATTTTGCAGTCATCCATGTCCAATTATCAGATTTTGTTTTTTAGTATTTTCTATACACTTGGGTTAACTATTTCAAAACTGATGTAATTCCCTCTATAGGACGTATGTGGCCGAATGGTTAAGGTCTTTGACTTGAAACCACTTGACATTCACCGGGTCCCGATAGGGACTTGATTATTTCATGTGAGGAAGTTCATCAAGCCAACGCATGGTACTTCGGTGGTTCTATTCGGATGCCTGTTCATGCCTCAGATACAATGCACAGAGGTCTTCCTCCACCAGTAAATGGAAAGTCGCCATATGACCTATACTGGGTTGGTGCGACGTCAAACCAAACCAAATAATGTTCCACTAGACAATGCTACATTTAATTTATGTGATATCTAGAACAGGCAATTTCAAAGATTCACATGCCTTGATTTATATTTTTTCTGAACCTAATATACCCCCCACGGCAAAGCCACTTTCGACCAATGGCTCGAGATTTCCAAAACTGTCCCAAAACACTAATCATTAGCTCCAACCCTCTTTAATCGTTGAGAAGCTTCATTAATTTATTGGTCAAAGACCATGGACCATCATTAAGCATTGTAGTAATTGGGCATGAAAAATCCCGTAAAAGAAATTTGGGACATGGAATTTATCAAAAAAGCCCGATTTAGTGAAATAGGAAATTTGTCCCAGTAAAATCAGTTATAAATTTGGGATTAACCTGGGGAAATTAAAACTGACCCATTATTTCAAAGGGTTTTATGGGCACATTTGTTTCAAAGTTTCTTTTCCTTTTTTTTTGTAAACAATTGATAAAATTTAGTAAATTTTTGGGGATGGTCTTTTTAGTCTAAAAGGTTTTCTGGCCCCAAACCCAAATTGTTTTCCCGTGAGCAACCCGTTTAATAATGTTATGTTCAACAAAATTCGAGTTAATGCCTAAGTCAAACCTGCCAAAAATAAACGAGGGGCCCCTATTTTTTAAATTTGGGGGCAAAAAACTCAAAATTTTTTCCAGGAATTGCATTGAAACCCTGACCATTCTTATTATGAGATTAGTGGATACAATAACAATTTCACCACAACTTTTTTGTTAACAAAAGAGCACATGTCAATGTTTATGGAAAGCCATGGCTGTCTGATATTGTTCTTTTTCAATTTATGTAACCATTTGGATAATATATGAGTTCACTTCGACTATATATGAATTGAAAACACCTTCTTATTTAACCGGAATCCATTATATTAATCCACAGTTACAATATATGAAACCATACTGTCAGTGTATGAAACCGAGTTAGCAATATATAAGTTGATTTTCTCAATATATGATTCCAATTCTTCAATATATGGTACCAAAGAAGCCATGTATGGAACCAGATGTCCTTATATGAAACCGAATTATCAATATATTAATTCAATTTTACAATATATGAAACCAATGTATCAATTTATGAAACCAAAGTAGAAATATATAAGTTGGTTATTACATTATATGATACCAATTCTTCAATATATGGTACCAAAGTAGCCATATATGGA